TATTATTATTTTATATATTCTGTTTTTTTTTCTTTTGTTTATTTATTTATTTGTTGCTGCTGCTGCTGCTTCTCTCTCTTTTGCTGTTGCTGTTGCTGCAGTTAGCTGTTGCAGCATAAGCATCCGGGTTGTTGTGTCTGATTCTGAGTGATATTTCTGCTGCTGCTGCTGCTGCTGCTGTTGCTGCTGCTGCTGCTGCTGCTGCTGCTGCAGCAGCAAGTAGGAATGGCAGAAAGAAGGAGACTGCAGCAGGAGGTGGAGAGAACGCTGCGGCGGGTTGACGATGGGTGCGAGGTGTTTATGAGTATATATAACAAATACAAGCAGCAGCAGCAGCAGCAGCAGCAGCAGCAGCAGCAGCAGCAGCAGCAGCAGCAGACAGCAGCAGCAGGAGGAGGTGGAGGAGGAGGAGGAGGAGGATCAGCGGCAGCAGCAACAGCAGCAACAGGAATACCAACAGCAGCAGCAAACAGCAGAATAGAGATAGAGATGAAAAAAGAAATAAAAAAACTACAAAGACAAAGAGATATAATAAAAGGATGGCAGCTAAACAACAACGAAATAAAAAATAAAACACCACTAGACAGCAGCAGAAAGAAGATAGAGAGATGTATGGAGCTGTATAGACAGTGGGAGAGAGAGACAAAGACAAAAGCATATAGTAAGGATGGTTTAGCAGCAGCAACTGCTGCTGCTGCTGCAGCAGCAAATGCTGCTGCTGCAGCAAACGCTGCTGCTGCAGCAAATGCTGCTGCTGCTGCTGCTGCAGCAGAAAGTAATAACGTTTCTCCTGCTGCTGATGATAAACATAGAGATGCTGTTGCTGCTGCGCTGCTGCTGCTGCAGCAGAGAGCAGCAGCACTGCAGACAGATTTAAATATAAATAATAAAAGAGGCAGCAGAAAGGAAAAAGAAAAAGAAAAAGAAAAAGAAAAAAAAAAAACAGAACAGCTGCTGCAGCTGCATGCGTTTCATATACAAAAACTAACACAGGTGCTGCAGCTAGCTGATGGGGGGTTGTTGTCTGCAGCAGCACTTGCTGCTGTTGCTGCTGCAGCAGANAGGTGCTGCAGCTAGCTGATGGGGGGTTGTTGTCTGCAGCAGCACTTGCTGCTGTTGCTGCTGCAGCAGAAGACTACAGCAGCAGCAGCAGCAGCAGCAGCAGCAGCACGAATACAGAGCTTCTTATTGATGCTTCTGTATATGACTGTATACATGCAGAAAGCAGCAGCAGCAGCAGCAGCAGCAGCAGCAGCAGCAGCAGCAATAGAGGGAGAGAACTAACAGAACACAACACAGATGATGCGCTGTGTAAGATTCAATTTGCTGCTGCTGCTGTTGCTGCTGCTGCTGCTGTTGTTGCTGCTGCTGTTGGTGCTGTTGCTGTCGGTGCTGTTGTTGCTGCTGCTGCTCCTGCCGTTGTTGCTGCTGCTGTTATTGCTGCTCCTGCTGTTGTTCCTGCTGCTGTTGTTGTTGCTGTTGTTGCTGCTACTGTCCTGCTGCTGCTGCTGTTGCTGCTTCTGCTGGTGCGCTGTTGCTGGTGTTTCTGTTGCTGCTGCGCTTTCATATGGTGCTGCTGCTGCGACTGGTGCTGCTGCTGCTACTGCTTTTGCGTTGCTGCTGCTGCATTTGTTGCTGCTGCTGCTGCTGCTGCATTTGTTGCTGCTGCTGCTGCATTTGCTGCTGTGTGCATGCAGCAGCAGACACGCCTTCGAATTCTGCTGCAGAGGGGAGCAGCAGCAGCTCTTCTCGGGGCCCCCGCTCCAGCAGCAGCAGCAGCAGCAGCAGCAGCAGCAGCAGCGGCAGCAGCAACCGGCGGGCGTTGAGTGCTGCTGAGGAGACAGAGGGAACAGCAAAAAGAAACAGCAGACGCGGCAGCAGCCCCAGCAATGCTGCAAGCAGCAGCAGCAGCAGCAGCAGCAGCAGCAGCAGCAAAGGCAAGCAGCAGCAGCACCAG